GTGGCAAAAGCACGAGTACACAGAGATAAATTCAAAGTACTTAAAAAATATATATCAAATATAAATTGGAGTTAAAATAAGGATAATAATTCAATTTATTCAAATTATTTATAGCTAAAATATACAAAATACATAAAAACTAGGTCTAGTTTTTCTTGCAGTGCCTGGCCCACTCACACAGCGATTAAGGCATTATGGCATCTCCATCTTGGGTCGCATTTTATGGCTCTGAATTGAATTGCTTTGAATTGCAGTCGCTTAAAATGGCACCCATTCACACACACACACACACACCCGTATACGCCATTTTCCACATTCGTTCTTGTTCCACCTCCTCCAGCGGATACCTCCCCCCTTGCCGTGGCTCATTTTAATTATGGCTGAGCGAATTAATAACAATTTGTTGCGAAAAAGGCAACGTTGATTAATTTATTTTCGCTTGTCGCGAGTCTCGAACGACCCCTCTTTTTCTCCCCATGCACATCATCCTGCTGCCATTGTTACCAGGCCTTTCCACACGCATATTTGGCCGTATTTTTTGGGTAAATCAACTAGAAAGGACTTTCAATAAATTTAATTAAATTATGGAGTGCGACACAAGCGCTTTGAGTGCCTCTCTGGCCGAGAGCCATTGTTTTAATGATCACGAAATTAAACTAAACTGAAAAAAACAGGTGAATCCCCGAGAAGCCCGAACGATGCTGCTGCTATAGCCGGATTCCCGGATTCAAATATCGAGTGTGGCCCCTCCTGGAACGCATTTTCCCCAATTTTCCTCTGCTTTCCGTTGGCCATTCATTCGGTTTTGCTGTAGTCAATGGCAAGCGGTTTTTTTTTTGGCTAAAAGCAAAGCCAGGAAACTCGAACGGCCAGGGACTGGCATTGTCGCGTCGTCAAGCAACGCCATGCAGCTGCATCATGCAGCCCAAAAGGCAGGGCAACCCACCTGCACTGAAAAAATTTTAAATACTTAAGAATAATATATGAACTTTGAGATATGAAATATTTTCTGTTCCCTCACAGCAATAGTTTTTTTTTTAACAAATTTAATTAAATATCTTATAAGAAATGAATTCAAATTTTATTTTCTCAGTGTAAAGAACCCTAAAAAGGCACATTTAGCAGTGGAAAATTGGAGTTAGCCAAAGAACCCTCTGGAAAACACCTGGGGAGCTGCGAGAGAGAAGCTATGGTAAGGTATCCAGGTGGGCAGCCAGTCTTTGGCGGAATACCAGGCATCCTCCACCTGGCATACGGACGAATATTTGGACACCTGCCACCTATTCAGGACATTTAAAGGAGTCCTGGCACTATGTCCTGCCAGTTTTGAATGATAAATAAAAAGAAGAAGCGCTGGGCGATAGATATTTATCTTATATCAATTTTTTGTTGTGTAAAAAATTAATTAAAAAATATTCCCAATTAAGCTAAACTTTAAATCAGGCTTAAATATAAAAAACCTAGATTTTCTTTCAATAACTCAATTATGTAAATTTTCAATTTTAATTAATTTTCACTTTCCCATTCACAGTCACCTTTTTTAGTGCAATAAAAAGGTAAAAAGCTGGCATTTCCACTGATGAAAGAAAATACTGGCGCTGCTGGCCTCTTACCTCTGGCAGATTTTCGCCTTTTCTTTTTCTTTCCTTTTTTTTTTGCAGGGGGAATAAAGGGGGAGCAAAGGATCTCCTTACTCTCGGATGCAACTTGCAGACTTTAACCCGAAAAACTTTTCCTGATAGTGCCGCCAATTGATAAGGCAGTCTACCCTGACTTTTCTCCACTTGTGCCACAATTTTACCCGCTTTTCCGCCCTTTTTCCAACACACCAGCACACCCACTACACACACAGACAAAGACAGACAGATGCAGGCAACGTAGCGGAAGTCATAAACAATTTTTATGTTTTCACATTTCAAGTGAAATTCATTTCGCGTTTTCCTTTCTTTTTCACTCCTTTTTTATATTTTTTTTTTTTTTGTTTTGTTATGGCTGCTGCACTTTATGGATTTCAATTTCTTATTCCTTCTTACATGACCGAGAATTTTCACATATATCAGAGGCCCTACATATGGACAGTCGGGGGTCTGAAAATATAGGTTCCAGGTAGAGAAAAAAATAAAATAAACTTGCCTATGTTTGCCTTTAAAATCTTTAAAAATTTGCTTTTATTCTAAAAAAAAATTCTCTTAATTTAATTTCAAAAACCTGATTGCTATTCTGATGACCCCAACTGTATGCAAATGGGTCATCCCACCAGCAAAAATTGAATTTAATTGTGCGAAAGGAGGGAAAATCGGTGTCACCTGGCCGGCTAATGAAAGCGGCTCATAAAAATGAAAACTCGCACCCTCAACAAACCAAAAACGAAAAAAGAAAAAAAACAGCAAAAATAAGAAGAAAAAATATGCAAAACTTGCAGAATTCTCACGACACCAAAAAAAAGGCAAGGAAGGTGGCTTAAAATTAACAATTTACCACTTCCTCAGATGGCTCAGTAGCAAGTGGCAAGCACTTAAGGCTTGCTAGCATAATTTTTCTACCTTCTCCTTGGCTTTTCCGCTCGTCTGTTTTTCTGCTTTTACCCTCCCCCCTCCGTCTTAGTCAGCCCCCTCGCCCACTTTTCAAGCTACCCAAATTGATGCCCGTAATGAGCTTAAATGGCTCATGACACATATAGCCCAACTAGAGGCTGCTGCTGGAGTCGGGCTCAAGGTGCGAGAAATCCTCGAATTCGCCTGCCGCTTTCCCTCGCTTTTCCGCTGCAATTTTACTTGCCTTGATTCAGCGAATTTTTGTAATTTTATTTCTAAAAAAATAAACGAAAGGGGAAGTTTTAAGGCGAAGCGAAGGGCTAATGAACACGTGAATTGTGTTTAAAATTATTCAAATCTAAAGAAGTACCCCAAAAGTGATGTGTTTTATATATATTTTTAATTTAAAAATATTAAATAATTTAATTATGATGTTATTCTAAAGTCTGAACAATCAAAAACTCTTCTGGTAACTCTCATTAATGTCCAAAACCAAATTCTTTGGCATTTCTTTGTCGCATTTCATTAATTCAACTGCATAGTCTGGGTGTTGCCATAGTTTTCCCTAATTTTCCCCCACATTTTTCCAGCTATGTAGCTGGCTGTAAACACTTTACTAAAGAGTTCATTTCCGTTTGCCAGAAAAGAAAAGAAAAAAAAAGGGAAGAAAATGAGTAAAATCCTGGGAATAAAGAATGAAAAGTGAAGACAGAAGTGTCTGCTGAATAGGGGGCGTATGTACGTGTGTGTGTGTGGGCGGGGCATGCTTAGTTAGCTTTGGCCTCCCCCTCCTTGACCGCAGCAGAGACCCCTGGCTTTCCGGTCCAGGACCTGCAGCATCCTGTATGCTGGATCCCGGATCCTGAATCCTGGATCCCGGTCATCAGACTTGTCTCCGGGTTCGTTGAGGCAACGAAAATATTTAAAAATTCTTTTGTGCTCCTTTGGGTCCTGGCTGTGTGTTTCGGATTCTTTTTGCCGCCGGTTGCCGCATTTTCATTTAGTTTGCATTATGTTTTAAATTGTCGCACTTGGCGCAGGGACACTGAGGAAAATAGAGCGGTATTTTAGGTACAATAATCATAATTTAGGTTTATTTTATCACGATTTTATTAATGGAAATTTTTTGTAAAATAATTTATAAAGCTTTTAATAAGGCGTTAAGTACTTTTTACATTTCTGAATAATTTTTGAATATTTTTAGCCAACTTAAACATATTTTTTTAGGGAAATCTAAGCAAAATAATTATTTCTTATAAATAAAAATTCGAAAACATCTTTTAAAGGTTTAAAATAATTTCCAAAATAATTTAAAGATATTAATTAAACTATTACTAGTTTTTTAAAGAAATTCCTTTAATTTTAAGAATAAACTTATAGAATTTGTGTACCTTTTTTTTATATATTTAAGTTTTTAAATAATTCCTTAGACTTCTTTGAGAATTTTTCTTGTTTTCTTCGTTTTTATATGTTTTATATTTTCACTGGTTTTTTTTTTTTCTGTGCACAGAGTCAAAGACACGTACTTAATGAGCTACAGCAGAGCGTGTTGCACTTTGCCCATCTCGAAGTGTGTGTGTGTGTGTGTGTGTATGTGGTTGTGGTAGACAACCCCTTCTTGACCCCTGACCCCCCTTAGCAATCGCCATTTGCCCCTCCCCCCCCCTGGTCTGAGGCAATGCAGACATCATGACCAAACAACTTTCATTTGCTTGCACAGGACTCTGAACGAGAATCCTTGTCGGGTTGACAAAAGAGCCTTCCTCGCTTTTCTTGTCGCCTGCTCTACTTAATATTTATTTTGTCTTTACTTGGCTAAGGGAAATCAGTTTGAAAGATATTTTACTGACCACAAAACAGTGTTTGAATCGTTATATTATCATATTTATATACAGGATATAAAAAACAAAATAAGGAATCAGCTAGAACTTGGCCAGTCACAATCCCTTATATAATCTAAAAAGAAAAAACATACAGGTCTTTCAGTTAAAGAGGTACAACTTTTGCCTGAAAGACCTACCTAGCTTATGGACTTCGATTTAAATTCTTTTAATTAAAAATTTCCAGTCCATATTGTAGGTAGAGATATTGTATGAGCTGTTTCGCCAGCTGTGGGCTCATCAGTCCATTTCCAACCAGCTCCCCTATGATCTGGAGCAATGTTTTGTCCTGTCCTTCGGTTATTATCTCAGCCATGTTGGTATCTCTTGATATTTCAAGATCAAGCATCAGAAACAAGGTTCCTATAAAAGAAATACATACGGTTTTTTATTTTGTTCACAAAAGCTAATCTTTGTAGAAAGTTGCACAGAATTATAGAGACACTTGGAACGATGATTACTAGATATCAAGTGATTTATTGAAATTTTATATCGATGACAATCAATATCTTTATGGTGGAACTTGTTCGATAGTCCGAATATCGAGTAGGCCCTTGGATATCTTTTCTATTCTTACCTCAGCAGGCTTCGTTGCTTGTTTCTAATTTCTGTAATTCTGTCTCCTTGAAGATTTCATTCTGTGTGAAAATTTAGCTTTGAATAACAACTAAAAACCTAATAAAACAATATTGTGGCCAAAGAAATTTGTTTAAAATCTAACGACAAGCTCACAAGAAACGCAGAGACAATCGAATTACTATTTAACAGAATTTTTTACCAAGAGAGTTAAGAAATTTCGCTTAATATATATTTTTTTTTGTGAGCCATCCCTTCCAGTGCCTGCTGGACCAGGGTGCCATGGAGCTCCACTTTGCCGGCGAGCCAATTCCGGACCTGTGCGCCGACAGCTTCACGTGCCCGAATTGCGGTGAGCTGGGTTTTTCGGCGGACGAGCTGATGGCGCATGTCCGGATTCGTCACAGCGACGCCCGCACTGCCGTCATCTGCCCGTTGTGCGTGGCGGTGCCGAGCGCCCATCCGGCCAGGGTCGACAATTTGCTTAGCCACCTGAGCACCGCGCATCACTACAGTGCCGGCGGGGGCTTCCGCCTGGCCGGAACCGTGCCGCCCGTTACGCATCACGTCCTGCCCACCGCCGAGGGGCCCCAGGTGCGCTTCATATTGCCGGATGAGCAGAGTGAAGTAGAATGGTAATCATGAATCTCAAATCGCTATGGTTTTCTTATTGGAATTACCAAGAGCAAAACCAAAGACCAGGGAAAAACATGGAAGAAATAAATGAGGAAACCCAGAAACCCAGAAGGATCGCAAATTTTCACGCTTAAAAAAATGTATATAACCATTCTGATATGGAAATAGTGTGTCTATAGTATCCAGAGATATATTTTACTTTAATTTTAAATCATGTTGAAAGCGATTTCTTTGAAGAAATGATATCAATACAGTGTGCCCGCTTGGAGCCATTTTCCGTGATGATGTAATTAAGCAAAACTGGTGAGACTGGCAGAGTGTCATAAAAGGCCACACCGATAACCATATTATTCGCTTTTGCAATTGCTCCTGGCTCTAGGTTCTTATCGGGAGAGTGGTTGGGCAACTGCCCCTCTCGATGGGCTTTGGCTTCCTTTTGCATTCACATCAGTTTTAATGCATTTTTCAGGCTGGGGGGACTTGTTTTTTTTTGTGCCAGGGCTGTGTGTGTGTATTTTTTATTTGAAAACAAATCAATTTAGTTAATGGCTAGCTTCGAACTGCAGTTTGATGGCGGGTCCGCTGCACTTGGATAGTAAATCAATGGAGGCCAAACAAAAATGGCGTCGGGAGCATTGCAATGGCGATTCTTTATCATCCGCTCTACACTCTCTTCTTTCTTCTATTTTTTGTTTTGAATATTTTTTGGTGCATTATATTTATATAGCACACTGCATGGCCATGCAGAGATAAACAAATAGATATAGAAACGGATAAACTTGTTCGTCCTGACACACATACATATGTACGCACGCACACACACAGAATTATACATATATGTATGTATATTCGTTATTTATGCATGGTAATATTTTGCCTTTGACTCCATTATATATTATGCTCTCGCATACAGATGGCGGTCCATCGATAGATATATGTTTATACTATATGGTTTATGTGGCGACTGCTGCGAGTCTCTCTCAGTCACCGTTTGCTGTGTGTTGTTGTTGTTTTTCCCAGGATAATGAATTCAATTTGAGTGAACTGTATTTATGCATTGCAATTTCACTTGGCATTTTCTCTCTGAGAGAAAGAGCGACTCTGGAGAACAGAAATGTGAAGGATAATGCCAGAATTATCTCGGTTTCCTTTAGTTTTATTTCCATATTTGAAAGAAGAATTGAGTATTCAAAAGGTAAATTTAAATTAAAAACTATTTTCAATATATTTCTTTTTTTATTTATCACTCTTGTTTACTTAATTCTTATTTTTTTTTATAATTAAAATTCTATTTAGAGCTTTTCCAAATCCCAAATCCAAATCCATGATGAACTGTGGGAACTCGGGCAGCTCCTTGATCCCTGCCATAATGGCAGCTCATGCGAATTTTAATAGTATTTTTTATTGCACTCATTGAAGGACATTTCGGCCCCTTTTGGAGCTTTCCACCCCGCACTCAATTACATTCCGTTTCCGTTACAATTTTTTTGTGCCATTCGGCCAGGATCTTGCTGCTCAAATTGTTTGCCAAGCGTTTTTGTCGGGAGGCTTTCTTTTTATTTATTTCCTCCGCACTCCCTACACCCTACACACCCACCCACTCGTCCTCGTCCTGCTCCTGCTCCTTCTTCTATATTTTTTTTCCACACTTCCTTGTGTCGTCGTTCCTCCTAATGCAGTTCGGTCTACACACACACACACACTCGGGAGTTACTAAATTCTCAGCTGGATTTAAAGCATATGCACACGCTGGGCCGAGTGGGGGTGGGAAGGTCGACTTAGACACACACACATCCAAGATGAAAGGGAGGGCAAAGGGCACTGGGACCCGGACGGCGAACAACTTAACCCTCCCGGGCTATAAAACTTAATATGTTTTGTATTTAAATTTATGAAAAAGCAAGCGGTTACAATGGAAGTGCAAGTCCTGCGCTGGATGAAAGGGAAAAATTAGGGGAAAAGTGGAGGGAAAATGGCAGAAGGAAAAGGGGATAACGGACGGGGTAGCAGGGGGTATCAGGGGGTATCAGAGAGGGCCTTTCAAGGGGAAGGCAGGGCAAAGAGAATGGCTAAGTGAAGCAGCAGGAATAATGGCTGCTTAAGCCGCCAACATGCGCATAATTGTCGCCAGCGTCATGTAGCGTACCCCCCGGTGTCCCCTTCTCCCCTCTTCGCCTACTCTTACCACCCCCCAGCCTTCAGCTCTGGTCAGCGATGGTCCAACAGTGGGTTAAGAAATATTATAAAAATTCAGGTTTTCTTTAAATTTAAATTATGATTTCAAAACAAAAAATATAAAAATAAATAAAATATAAAATATATAAATAAATTAAATGTAGGAAATTTAGAACTAAATTATCTTTAAATAAATAAATCTTTCTGAAACTAAATAAACATATTCACAAATAAACATTAAACTGCGTTTTAAGCTTCAAAAATAAATATCAAAATTCATTTTCCAGGCCCAAAAAATCAAATTTAATAACATTGTATGCTTAAATTATCAGAATATTATTCAAAAGGTACATTTTCCCCTTTTCAATATTTACTATTTCGAGGGCCCTTACCCCTTTGCTTACATTTTAAATCAAAGCAAATATTTAAGCAAGAAAAAAAAACAAAACGAATATTACCAATTTTCTGCGCAAATTTAAATAGGGAATAATTTAAATTGCATAACAATTATTTCCGTTTGCATTTCCTGCCGACATTTGACCACCGTGCTTAACGGTGAATTACGCTTTCGGCCGGAGGGCAACGGGGCGTATGCGTAATAATAATTACGCGGCGCGCTGCCGCCGACGAAGCAGTAATATTTATGAAAGGCTTTAAATTGTCCTTGTCGGTTGTACAACATATATTTTAATACATTTATATAAGCACTGAAAGAAAAACATAGTACAAGTTTATGTTTAAATATTTTCTTAAATATAACATAATTATATAAATTAAATATTATATATATAAGTCTTTGCTTTTGTCATACACTTATTTTTTTTTTTAATTTTTATACATTTCTGTAAGGCAATATATGAATTTTAAACTTTTTCTATAACTTAAAATATTTTTAAATGTGCCATAAACTCATTTATAATTTTTAAAAATTTTTAAAGAATTAAAGTACATATTAGTTTTCATAAAAAGTATTCTTTGCTGTTTCTTAACTCCACTTTTTACCCCAGTGTATGCGCCTGCACAATTGCTACGTTTCGGTTCTTTGTGGTGTTATAATAAGAATGCGGTTTATCACCTGCCCGAAAGGCGAAAGGGGATTGCTAATGCAAATTACGCACTGTACAGAACAGTACAGTACAGTACAGTGCGGAACAGTATGGAAAAACCAGGAAAGGCTGGGAAACACACAGGAAACGGGGGAAATAAACCCAAGGCAAGGCACTGGATTCTCACGGCGGCCTGATGCCAATAAAAAATATGGCCTCGACAGGATTAATACATTATTTCCGCCAGGCGAGGGGCAGGGACAACACGGACGTGAATGTAGCCACAGCAACAGCCCCACATATGTGGCTGTTGTTTTGCGCTTTTATGATTATTGTAGTGGCATCGTTCTCGTCCTTGTTCCAGGACCAGACCAGGCACTTATGCATATGTTGTTTTTTTTTCGGCTCTTGTGAAGCTTCGGAGCTTCGCTCTCCTTTCGGTGCCTTTCAAGTGCACTTTGCTGTTTCATTTCAACTATATTTGTTCGCCATATTTGTATACAAATTCCTTTTTTCACTGGCAGGGCACTACCAGCCAGGGTTCTTCTATTTTCCATAAAGGATACACGCAGTAGGGTCCAGCCAGCCAGCATCCAGGCACTTCACACAGATACTCGCACAAATACTTGTGCACACTGCACTGGCACGCACACACACCCTCACAGGGATCAAGTGCTGGAAAAGTGCATATTAATTTGATGTTTTTGTCATCTGAAGGAGCTGCAACTCGAGCACATTGTTACCGTGTCGAAAATTTCGAGTTTGCATTGAAAGTAAATACTTGGAGTGTTTAAAGAATTTATTCAAACATTTAAATATTAATAAAAAGTATAAAATACCGTTCAGGTATCAAATTTTGTTGGAAAACCATCTGTATTTTGGTTACCAAAGTAACTTTCTTATTAAAATAAGACTTGCAGATATTACATAATTAATTTGCAACATTTTTTTTTTTTTTAATTATGGCGCCACAGAAGTTTCCTATTCTCAGCCGCACAGCTAATTGTTGGCTTATTTATTTTGAAAAAGAAAATTGAAAAGGAAAAAGGAAAAAGAAATGGAAAGCGCGGCAAAAAAGAAACCTAAAACGCGGCTGGAAGCGACAAAGGAAAATTAAATGAAAATTTTTCGTGACCAGCTTTTGTCTCATTCTCGTCTCCTCTGTCTCTCTCCCACTCTCTCTCCCTCTCTCTTTCTATTCATTCACTTGGCCTTTATAATAAAACAATAAACTGTAACAATAGCAATTAAAAATCGCTGAAAGCGGATGTCCTGATAAGGACCCTGAAACAGAGCCAGAGATGGAACGCCAAGAAAGGGAGAATACAATATGATCTTAAAATCTAACATAATATTTTCGTTTATAAAATTCTTAAAAATAAAATTAATTAAAATAGTTGAAATTAACACATAATTAAGGCATAATGTTTCCATCTCTAAAAGAACTAAAGAGGGTACATCCCTCCCTGCTTTGCCACCACTCAAATCGTCCTTGGCGTCGTCCTGTTTCATTGTTGTAATTATGCATTATGCTCCCGATTCCGCCTCCACTTCTCAGCTCCTTTGTATATTCAACATTTTCGCTTATTTTTCGCCTATTTCGGTTTGTGTTTTTTAGCCATGCCCTGGAATCCTTTTGACCATTTCCATTCCCCAAAGCCGAATTGCATTTGCCGGCAATCAGCGATGAGACAACGCCAAGGAGCGACATTGACGACTCCGGCCTTTCATCGCATTGTCCTGGCTGAGGACACGAAATTCAAGCTTTTTGAGGCGGACAAGCCGCGTTTTCCTGTCACCTGTCGCAGCCTGTTCAGCTGGCGGAAAATGGGCCAAGAAAATATGCTGGGTGAAGGAAATGAAGTTGAATTTGAAAAG